GGCAAGAGGTTGGAGGAGACCAGCTGGCCATTGGTGTTCTGCTTTCACTCTTCTGCAGACATCGCATTCATTCACGAACTGAGCAATCTCGTGCTTCATTCGAGTCCACCAATACGACTGCTTGAGGTCATGGTACATCTTTGTACTTCCCGGATGAATAGATAGGAGTGAATTGTGAGCCTCGTTCATAATGACATTAATTTTTAACCGTGGAGAATTTGTTGGATTTTATATTGATATACATTTATTTTTAAAATCAGTTTGAATGTGAGTCGAAATTTCAGGATTAAAAACAGTTTGGACCGCACCGAAATATGCAAAATTTTGTATAATTTTTTAACCGTGGCCACAATATGGGCTGTAATGCTAACAAAAAGAATATGGGCTCAAAAAAACCTTAAGAATTAGCAAATGGGCTGTAAATTATTAGAAATAATGACAGACGGGTTGTATGCTGTTTTCCACAGATTTGAGGCTTTCCTAAAGGTTGACGCACAAGCACTGACTGTTGGATGTCCATCCAACAGCCGTCGTGCTTCTTCAATCTCTGCTCTTCCTGCTCCAGCCGCTCAAACAAGCGCCGGCGGGACTGCCTGCTCCCTCCTCCCCGCGGCCGGCTGTGCTGCCACGCAGTCCTCACCGCCCCATCATACTCCCATCGCTGGCCTAGCCATCCCTCTATTCACCCACACATGTTGTTATTCTTCGGCGATGGCAGACGAACCAGTAAACCCTCGTACAGTCGTACTCCCCTCCATGTGGGAAACAACTGCCGACTCTTCCCTGCCTCCGTGTCGTCCCCTTCCTAGGCCTCGCCGTCGTCCATCGTCGTGGTGCTCTCGGCGCAGCGTGGTCAATGTGGTCAACGACCGACTTCCATCGGAAGAGTACTGTGCATGGAGACGCTGACAGCTGGGTCCACGGCCGCAGCAAGAAAGTGCCTCCTTATTATGCGCAAAATAACTATTCCTCCACCTGACAGCGAGGACCCATCGGATGGGCCACCGTATTTTGCAAAAAATATATTTCCCCCTGACTGCTGGAACCCACCAGCTACACCTTCGCACGCAAGGAAGTGCGTCCAGGAAAAAAAAATGATTCGCCCCCCTGACTGCTGGGACCCACCAGCTACATCTTCGCACGCAAGGAAGTGCCTGACAGTCAGGACCCACCTGGTCGAAGCGTACGTAGCATTGTCATTCTGGTCGCGAACGTGTACGTACATATATACTGGTGGATGTAGAGGCGCGCACGTGTCGTAGTAAAGGCGCGCACGTAGCATGTACACGTATGTACAACGGCCAGGGTGCAAGAAAGAAAATACGGCCACGTATGTGTATATACGGGCGGGGTCTCGAACGCCTACTCACGCATACGTATGGCGAGGGCTCGTTGACATGGTTGGGTCAGAACAGAGAAACAGCATCGTCGTCATGTTCATGGGGAGGCAACGAAATGCGTCGTGTTCATGGGAAGGCAACCGAATGTGCCATGTTCATCAGGAGGCAACGGAACGCGTGGGAGCCAACCGGCTGGGTCGGAACGGAATGTGTGGTCGTGTTCATCGGGAGGGCTTGGACGGAACAGGCGATGGAAACGAGACCTGGCGTACCGCAGAACGGAGGAAACGGCCTTGTGTTCGACCGGCCACGTTCGAAACGGGATCCTGTTCATCGGGAGGGGTCTGGCGCATCGCAAAACGGACGAAACGGACCTCCTACGGTCGAAACGGGGGTCTTGTTGATCGGGAGGGGTGTGGCGTACCGTAAAATGGACGAAACGGACCTCCTACGGTCGAAACGAGGGTCCTGTTGACTGGGAGGGGTGTGGCGTATCGCAAAATGGACGAAACGGACCTCCTACGGTCAAACGGGGGTCCTGTTCATCGGGAGGGGTGTGACGTACCGCAAAACGGGACTCCATGGGATATTGTTCATCTCCAACGTCGACCTCCTCCAGCCTCCACGGGCTGCTACCGTCGACCTCCTCCAGCCTCCATGGGCTCCTATTTATCCAGCCTCCACCGCGTGCTACTCCACCGGCTCCTGTTCAACCACTCCTCCATGGGCACCCCTCCACCGTCTACTATTCATCCAGCCGTCCACACCACGGGGTCCTGTTCAACCGCCCCTCCACGGGCACCCCTCCACCG